AAAGTGATGTTAGAGTCGATAGATATGGTCTTTACGAATCGAATGATACGTGTCTCGATGTTGTAGGATGATATTTGTGGGAGGAGATAGATTTTCTGAAGTACCCCTTTTTAGCCGTTTTCTATGAATTTCACGTTTTCTATCAATTTTTTCGAAAAATTCATAGGAGCAAAATTTTTTTTTCACATTTTACGTATGTATGTGAAGTTTCATGACAATCGGATAATAACTGTTGAAGTTTTCGAAAAAAAGGGCGATCCCCTTAAAATTTTTGTGAGGTATCCTACTTACGTGTTTTATATACTTAATTCCATTATTTCATTCCAGAATTTCATTATTCAATGCTTCTTTTAACTTGAAAACGAATGTTGTTGCTTTTGAAACGCCTGTAATAAATTAAAATTCCTCCATTGAACCTGCCTTTCGATCTACCAACTTCATCTGGAAAAGTGTTCGGATACCTGAAAATTTAAATCACGAGATCTCTGGTCATCAATCGCAAGTGTGTAAACAATAAAGTGTATGCACAATAAGCTATGTGTGTCGTCTATTTGAGACTGTTGAGGTACGGTTGCAACTATTAATTATTAGATAAGAATTTATTCAATGAATCGTATTTATGCTGTGATTATCGCACAATAAACTAGTGTTCTTCAAAACTAGTGCAATCATTCGTCACAAATCTTTTGCAGCCATATTCATCAAAATTATCTTTTGCGTAACATCCGACGACAATTCATATTGCGATTCTGCAAAGCATTTCTACAAACGTATAGATTCAAGGAGCTCTTTATGACATGGCTTTCATAAAATAAACATCATTTCGTAGGTAAATTTTATTTCTAGAAACATACACATAATTACTTCCCAGCAGCAGCGAGTTTGACGAGTTCTTTCCTCATGACTTTGCCAGTGGCGTTCTTAGGAAGTTCAGCGAGGATGGCAACACCGCCCGTCAGGTGCTTGTGCTTGGCGCAGTGTTGCTGCACGTGCGCCATCACCTGCGCCAGACGTACGAGGCACAAATATATATATTATATTCTTAGGAAGTTCAGCGAGGATGGCAACGCCGCCCGTCAGGTGCTTGTGTTTGGCGCAGTGTTGCTGCCATGGGTGCACTCCCCCAAAACAAAATTTGATTATGTCGATTCGTACAAGTATTTAGGCCTAATCTAATCTTGGGAATTTATAAGATGTTACAAGTAGCATGAGACCAAATAATTCAATAGGAAAACATGAATCTTCCAGCTAAAAATTAGGATATATAAAATGATACAATATCATACTTCCATAAATATATATAAACTATGTGCGCCAAACCCTCTTGGGTGGTAACGTTTTGGGTATCGTTCTTTTGGCTGTTGTAGATGCTTAGTACATGAATAGTTGTACATTTTATTATACAATATTTATAAAGAAATATATAATGGTCTAAATACAAGTAGGAGAACGACAGTTCATGCAGATAACAGATTAAAAACAAGTATGGCCTTTTTTGGGAGCAATTGTGGAACACCAATGAGAATTCAGTTTATTATGTGCATCGCATGCATATATAGATACCGTTTTCTCATCGATGCCGCCCTTGGTGGTGATGTAGGCCCTGGGGGCTTCACCCGTCTTGTCGTGGGGGACACCAACCACGCTAACCTCCACCACCTGGGGGAGCTGCAGGATCGCATCCTCTATCTCGCTGGGGGACACCTTGGTGGGCAGGAAATAAGGATTTATTGACGTTTTAGGAGGCAATGTAATGTTTCACAGCAGTTTATATGATGAAAAATAGTTGATACATATTCTGTTGGTGAGGTTAGATGAACAGATGCTGTTCTCTGTTTTGGTGGATTTAAATGGAGGGATATTGTTTTGTGTTTGAATGGGACTAGTTAAGAGGTACCTATCGTTTTCTGTTTGGGTCGGGTGACATAAAGAGGTATCGTGGAAAGATGCAAACTCGTGGCCATATCTTTGAAGGGGCGCATGTCGGAGGCCGGCTTTGCCAAACTTCACACTTAGTTCATATTCCTATCCATAGGTACGAACGCTAAAGTGCATAACGGCCTATGAAGTCAAGTGCTCAAAGACATAGCACTGGATGTCCACAACCACAAAGTAAGCTTGCCTGGAAGGTAAACATGGCCATACTGCATCTGGCCAAACCTCTGGCCTTACCTCTTCAGGCCTAACCTATACGAGCTGCAACCTTTCTCCACCCAAAACAAACCTGAGCGGACCTAACCNAGGGCGCGGCCTTATTGGCCGTGATACGGCTGATTATTGGTGGCTAGGGCTAGGTTGTTGTACAACTTCATTAGCTAAAGGGCGTGGCCCGGTTACGACGTAGCATGTCATTAGGCGTGATACGGCTTTTAAATATGCGATCGCGCGGCTTTTAATTCACGGGTCAACTGCCAGCAATTGACGGCTATCCGGCCAGGACACGGCAAAATATATTTACGGAATCCGTTTGTTTGATATAAATAAGCTAAAAAGACACGATCGAGGTTCTGTGACGTGTAAAATTATATGTATGAACAGAATAGGCAAACATACTGATGATACAATGCGATATAAGGACTAAGTCCTTATAACTAAGACTAAGACTAAACGTGCTAAGGAGGTTCATATTGTCTTTATTATGTTGCAGGGCCAGTATTCGAACTAGGCGCAATACATATCCGCAATAACCCACAGAGTTCATAGCACTTCTCGCGGCGCGACGCAGAATGTACTATCAATGCAACTGTAATCATGCTTTCATTCGACAAAGAATGTGTTATAAATTGAAGGCTAGAGTTTAGATTTCTTACGTATTTTTATTCACTGTGGTGGCGCAGACTGAATGATGCTTCCAATGACTACCGTTCCGCACTTCAAGCTCAATGCGGTAACATCGCATGGACTCGTATAAGCACCTGTAAAGATTTTTTCCTACGCTGCTGGATTGAGCGCGCTGCCTTGCACGACCAATTTTGTGCACCAATTCAGCCCTGAATGGAACGCCTACCATATTTCCGTATGGCCATCAATCAGCCGTGGATTAAACCTGCCGTCTGTCAGTAGCCCATGACATCATTTTGTTTAATATATTAATAGCTTTACACTACCATATACTGAAACGAATAGCTCAGAGTGTAAAGATCGTCCGTCATTAGACGTTGCATCGAAACATCAACTCCTGCCCTGGCTTTAGCTCGAAGCCTCGAACTGTAATGAATACGGACGTGTTGGTGGCGGTCGTCATATTTACTACAAGGCTATGGCGCGCGGTGTCCGAGTAGTGCAGGATTTTTTCGCACGTTGGCAGACGATGCTAGGCCAAACTATAGCAGGTTGTTTTCATTTGGGCTGATTAGTCTACCTCGATGGATGCGATCTGACTGGTTGCTTGTGGCTGAGGGGCGCATGCCGGAGGCCAGCTTTGCCATACTTCACACTTAGGTAAGAACGCTAGAGTGCATAACGGCCTATGAAGTCAAGTGCTCAAAGCCACAGCGCCGGATGTCCACAGCCACAAAATAAGCTTGCCAAAGATAAACATGGCCATACTGCATCTGGCCAAGCCTCCTCTGGCCTTATCTCTTCAGGCCTAACCTATACAAGCTGCAACCTTTCTCCACCCAAAACAAACCTGAGCGGACCTAACCTAACCTCATTGGCTGCAAGAAGTTAGAAAGGCGGTCCAAGTGTGCTGGTAGAGCCTGTCATTGGCTGCAAGAAGGTTGTGAGCCGGGACAGCGTGAATAGGTCAGGCCAGAAGAGGTTAGGCCGGAGTAGGTACAGCCGGATGGGGAACTGCCTGCTTATGAGCGAGCATGTTTGAGCATTGGCTGAAGACCTTCAGCGCTATTATCTTTCGGCTGTGTGTCGCTTGTCTGGATTACGGAGTTCAAGCGTAGTCTGCGCCTTCTAGTTCTTAGGCTGAGTAAAGTTAATGCATGGTGAAGCTAGGCGTTGGCTCCAGGGCTTATTAAAGAGTAAAATTTGTGGCCTACGGCTGCGCCCCCGCGGCTGATATTGTGATAGTCCGAAAATGTTTGAAGCTACGTCCCTGAGCAAAGGTACATATCATGATGGCCCATTCGAAGCGTGGCAGTAATGGTATCCGACGGCAGTCCCGTTACTGACGACAGACTTAA